CAACAATATTTTGTCTCAATCTTCCGCCTAGTTCGTCTATTATAATGATAAATTACCTAATTACCGCTCAATTTAATGCATTTCTTAATTTTTGAGATAGTTTGTCTTCCATGACTATCGTTTCCGAGAAAAAAAGTGTGGAAAATGGTCTGTTTGGACTGGAACTTTACTCTCTCCAAGTTTTACTCCGCTTTTACACAAGACACTGTTGAGGGAGAGAACAACAATATTTTTTCTCCAACTTCTGTCTAGTTTGTCTATATTTCAAGATAAATCACCTGGCCACGGCTCAATTTAATGCATTACTTAATTTTTGAAATAGTTTGTCCTCCATGACTATCGTTTCCGAGAAAAAAAAAGTGTGGAAAATGGTCTGTTTGGACTGGAACTTAACTCTCTCCAAGTTTTCCTCCGCGTTTACACAAGACACTGTTGAGGGAGAGAAAAACAATATTTTGTCTCCATCTTCTGTCTAGTTTGTCTATATTTTAAGATAAATCACCTGGCCACGGTTCAATTTAATGCATTACTTAATTTTTGAGATAGTTTGTCCTCCATGACTATCGTTTCCGAGAATAAAAAGTGTGGAAAATGGTCTGTTTGGACTGGAACTTCACTCTCTCCAAGTTTTCCTCCCCTTTTACACAAGACACTGTTGAGGGAGAGAAAAACAAAATATTTTGTCTCAATCTTCTGTCTAGTTTGTCTATATTTCAAGATAAATCACCTGGCCACGCCTCTATTTAATGCATTACTTTATTTTGGAGATAGTTTGTCGTCCATGACTATCGTTTCCAAGAAAAAAAGTGTGAAAAATGGTCTGTTTGGACTGGGACTGCTCTCGCCAAGTTTTTCTCCGCGTTTACACAAGACACTGTTAGGGAGAAAACAACAATATTTTGTCTAAATCTTCTTTCTAGTTTGTCTATTTCTATTGATAAATTACCTGGTTACCGCTCAATTTAATGCATTACTTAATTTTCGAGATAGTTTGTCGTCCATGACTATCGTTTCCGTGCAAAAAGTGTGGAAAATGGTCTGTTTGGACTAGAACTGCACTCTCTCCAAATTTTCCTCCGCGTTCACACAAGACACTGTTGAGGAAGAGAACAAAAATATTTTGTCATTATCTTTTGTCTAGTTTGTCAATTTTTCCAGATAAATCACCTGGCCACGGCTCAATTTAATGCATTACTTAATTTTTGAGATAGTTTGTCGTCCATTACATCGTTTCCAAAAAAAGTGTTGAAAATGGTCTGCTTGTACTGGGACTGCACTCTCGCCAAGCTTTTTCTCCGCATTGACACAAGAAACTGTTGAGGGAGAAAACAACAATATTTTGTCTCAATATTCTGTCTAGTTTTTCTATTTTTCAAGATAAATTACCTGGCCACTGCTCAATTTAATGCATTACTTAATTTTTGAGATAGTTTGTCGTCAATGACTATCGTTTCCGAGAAAAAAGTGTGGAAAATAGTCTGTTTGGACTGGGACTGCACTCTCTCCAATTTTTACTCCGCGTTTACACATGACACTGTTGAGGGAGAGAAAAACAATATTTTGTCTCAATCTTCTGTCGAGTTTGTTTATATTATAAGATAAATCACCTGGCCACGGCTCAATTTAATGCATTACTTAATTTTTGAGATTTGAATTTTTGAGCAGTTGACAGAAAAACCGTGCAAATGGTGATACAAGCACCAAACTCTTCACAATGATTTTTTAGGGTATACTTCACAAATCTGCCCGATCGGCCAATTGAAAATCCAAGATGGCGGCCATTTTTCAAGATGGGCGCCAAAACGACCCCCTAAGAGCTAACTTTTCTCATAGAAATGCTTCTATATGGTCGATTTGGATGGTTCTCGTATTAATATTTATGTTTTCAGGTATGCTGGATTCATTTTTGATAGTTTCAGCTTATTTAAATCATTTAGATATATGTTGTTGTGAAACCTCAAGAGGTTAGTTGTTCTCCATCCTATAGCTACTTCATATTTCGAAATCGACCAATATTACAATAAAGGTTTTCCCGGTCGGTTTAATAGATTTGGCAGTCAAAATTAATAACGAATCACCCATTTTTGCACAAATTTGGATGCACTAAATATATCGTGCGGTTTAAATCTAAAAGCATGCGATGGCACTTTGTATGATTTAATTTCAAAAATTAAGACAGTCAAATTAAGATGTCATTTCATTAAAATGACATATAATGTGAGTGACGGAACAATGGACAGGTGTCCGCAATGGACAGGTGGCCACAATGAACAAGTAGTCAAAATTGACAGGTGGCCACAATGAACAGGTAGTTAACATGGACAGGTGTCCACAATAGGGCAGGTGGTCACAATGAAAAGGTGTCCATAATGGACAGGTGGTGACAATAGACAGTCCATCACAATGGACATGGGCCACAATAGTACAGGTTGCCACAAAAAGATCGACAATAGACAGGTGACCTGAATGGACAAGTTGACACATTTTTGAAGACATGATAATTATGAACATGTGGATGCAACACACCGGTTGGCAATTCAGACATGTGGCTGCAATGGTTAGATTGGCATGAGGACAGGCTACCTCATTCGGCAGATAAATGCAACTAACAAGTGTTCATTATTGACCAGTGTCTGCCTTAAGCAGGTGAAATAATAATTACCATAGGCGTAGCCAGCTGGTGGGGGGGGGGGGGGGGGGGGGGGGGGGGAAGGGGTATTTACCCCCCCCCCCCACCCCAGTATTTTGTAAAAACTGCCTTATTCATTCAAATGCCCTTTTTTTTCAACGGGGTCACCCCCCCCCCCGAAAAAAAATAGTACAGAGCGCCCTTTTTTTACGAAGTACCCTTTTTTTCTGAACAAGTGCCCTTTTAAAAAGTAGTGCCCTTTTTTTGTGGCATCTGCCGTTTTGAAAGCCTTTTTCAGAATTTTGCACATGTATCGCCCTAAACAGCACCATATATTGGCCCTTTGTGTGCATAATTGTCGGTTTTGAACAAAAAACCTGTCTACATTTCACAACCGATGTACAAGTGCCCTTTTCAAAAAACATTACCCCCCAATAAAAATGACCGTGCTACGCCCCTGATTACGGTTCAAGGCCAATCTCTGATTGGTAAGTTGACTGTTGCTGTCCTGAATGAATTCTGCTCCAAGAACGGTCTCTCCACTGCGGGCAAGAAAAACGATCTCATCGAGACAATCTCGGGACACTCTTGTGTTTAAACTCTGACCTATGACCTCGTCAGGCCTTAACACTTCAAACTAGTGTTCATCTCTGATTTCTTAGTTCCTAATGAAGAACTCGAACTTAAAAGTTCTGAACATATTTGAAAAGGTAAAAATTGTATTATCTCTAGCCATTCTTATGCCAACCTTTTGAATCTTGTGATAAATAGATGACAGTATCAGGTTTCATTTAAAGAAAAAAAATGAGAACATTTGGACTCTGTGTATTTTGAATCCAAAAGCTGGTACAGATTATGGTTTGTTTGGTAGTTTAAAAAAAAATAGATCTGACAAATAAAGGCGCTGTATTCCGCTGTAACTGGCAGGACTGTCAAACTATTGCCAGTTTGCCCGTGTGCAATAGAGTACTGTTGTCATCCTTCGAGTTGATGTCTGTACACATCGTTTTTTTTTTAAAGGAACATTGATAATTACCGGGAAACGAACCTACCGGCTTCATGAGGGAAACAAAACCTTGCTCATTCCAAAACATTCAAAACGTAACATGCATACATGAATAAACTGGTTTTTAAAGCCGAAGCTACGTTTACATCGAGCATGTCATTGCCTCCTCTTCATGGAAAACAAAACAAACGCCTGCACCTAATTTAAAGTTGAGTGCGAAAAAAGGGCCATTTTCATTGGTATGGCGCCGGCCGGTAGCCTTGCTCACGAGCAGTCGCTACTGACAGTGGCACCAATCCCGCAATTAAAACCGGCGGTGTGCATTGGCTCGTGTCTTATGCTCATTATCGCTTCAGAAATTAAAGAAAAGTTGATAAGTTGATAATTATAAACGCCACATAAAAATGAGTTTTGGTAATTAGAGTCTGCGCTCGTAATTATTACTTAATTAACCCACAAATCATTCACTGATCTGATGAATGGCCATGGCCCCGTGTGTCTATTTGGTAATTATCCAAAGAGAAGCATTAGATGGTGTAGAATATAAGCGATGGAAAGCCAACCTGATTCGATCTTATTAATCCGTATGCCGTCGATGCATGCTCGCTGGATTGTGTGCTCCGAAAGCTTCACATTTGTGTACTGGTATAATACTTGATTATTGCAAGCTTAAACTTACAAAGCTCAAAACCTTTCAAGTTAAAAATGGAAGGCATGTTTCTCATCAAAATTTATACCGCCATCACTGTGGCTTTTTCTACAATGATCGGCGTATGCCAAGCCGCATGCTCCCCGTGCCCGTTTCAATGGATGGAGCATCAGCATCATTGCTATCGCTACTTTCCTGTTCCTCTTTCGTATGAAGAAGCTGAGGCGTACTGCCAACGCTATGCCACGAGGGACGTGGCAGGTGGTTTACTTACGGCCAGCTCCCTAGAGGAGACGATATTCCTTATTTACTTCTTGGACATCATCTTAAGTGAAATAAATACGTCTGAGGCTGCCCCTGAGTATGTCTGGTTGGGCAAGAAAGCGGACGTACCATTTGGTAAGTTATATCCAGAAAAAAACGAAAGAAGGAGAATGTTCATTATCGCCAGTTGTATTATATTCTGAACATCAACTTCTGGCTTAAGGAGTAAAGATGAAATGTGTCCAGGATTGAGGCATTGGTTGTGGATCTAATGATTAGACCAAAACTCCAATAATTGATTTTTGTTTGTTTTCTTTTCAGAGAGTTACAACATGACCTACTACAATACACTGAGTGCGACTCGTGAGACTGGTAGTCACTTCACATCATGCGATGCTTATGACTCGCCAGTTCCGATCTCTAGGAGCGAGATTGGCACAGGCGTCTCCAAAATGGTTCCTTCCCCCGAAGTGGTTGAGCAAAAATGCTCGATTTACACCGGAGAGGGTGCCTACATCGACCTGGGCGATTTTGCGGGGACTTGCGTCTCTGATCCTGACGTGTGTGCCTCAGATAGCGTAACCTGGTCACTGTGGCTCAAAATCAACTCTTCGGCAGGTTTTACCCATGATAGTTATTTTGTTTCAGCGGGAGCAAGATCAAGAGGAGCACGGGGCGTCGCCTTCCTGTACAGGAACTCGCTCAACGCTTTCGTCTTCGCAGCTCGGAGTGAATCGTGGTCATACTTTGAGAGGTACGAGACGCTGGGCAAGATCCCGATAGATAGATGGTTCCACCTGGCCGCTACCATGGTTCTTTCACCAACAAATGCCCAACTTGTCCTGTACCTGGACGGCAAGGAGCTTGGCAGTTACGATCATAATGAAAAAGAAGACTCGCCTAGAGATGGATGTACCAGGCTGGTTTTAGGGAGCATGAATCCCTGCGTTGGAATGTCACCGCCCTCATCTCTGAATTTCGGAGGTTCGGCAGCCTACAGCAATCTGATGGTATTTGATCATCTCCTCACCGAGGAACAGATAGCCAACCTCTACGCCTGCGGGTCACTTGGTGAGTTTTGCTTTCAATATACCGGCACCTAAAACTGAATATCATCACTGTCAGTAATATTTATAAAGTGAATAATTCTTAGATAGTATACGTAAACTCTTGACTCAACCTCTGTTTCACAGAGCCCTTGCGAAATATTTGCCCACATTCATATTGCGTTTTCTTTGGAATATCTTTAGTCATTGTCCTTCCTAGTCTATGTAATAGACCATGGTGAAAGCCATGGTCTATTATGCATGAGCAGATTCGCTGATTAATAAGGCAAGACCCCGCCTCTTGACCTCCTAGATTTTGGCCAATCAGCGGGCGCTTTCTATATCAGGTCTTCTGTCATTCACCCGTTGCGTGTCATAGACAATGGGTAAAAAAAAGTCCCGCGCTCTGTATCATGTTACGCGATAATGCACCCGGCTGTTGTTGTATTACAAAACACTGCCTTCGAATTGACCAATCAACCATTTAGTCCTGATTTGGGAATAAAATGACGTCACGATTTAAAAGTCGACTCCGATTGGCTGGCGCGCGGTTTGCCTATATCTGCATGTCAAGACATATCAGACGTTAAACAAGAAATTTGGCTCCGTGGATAACGGGTGCTACGAAAGGATGACAAACTGCAACTCAAAGACGCCTTGGACATTTACCGATCACATGAAGGCAGTGTCATGCATATGGCACAGCTTAGTCATATTGGAAAGGCCCAAGTGGACGTCGTCAAGACGCAGAGACAATGCAAAAACTGTGGTGGAAGACACCCATATCGACCTCGCGATAAGTGCCCTGCATATGGCACAAGATGCAATGGTTGCGGTAAAGAGGGACACTGGCAACACATGTGTCTCAGTACAGCAGGCACTAAGACTAAACCTCGAAGCACTCGCAAATCACGTTCGCGTACCGGGGATCATACTCACCTAAATGCGGTCGTCTGTCTTCATCGCGTTCCAAACCTCGTAAATCCAACGAGGTAAACGTGGTTGAGTATGAAGTGACTGATATGCAGGACAAGTTTGAGAACATCGCCTTCCACACCATCACAGCCCAGCACAATCACGATGACGTTGGGCGTTCATCTGATACTCGCGATAACCTTTTCGCAATACTTCGCATCAAACTTAAACATCGTCCTGGATCACACACGCTTAATGTCAATTTCGACACGTTTCCACGATCACTGGACGCAGATGGGTATCCTCAGCCGGGCTCCACTACACCGCAAAGTACGCTTCTCACAGCCTACAATGGGGTCCGAATTCAACAATATAGATGCGTCAAGATGCCATGCAGCTACGGTGAGACAGACTGGCTTGCCGCAGATTTCATCGTCGTCGAAACTACGGGTCTGGCAATCCTCGAACTTCAGACCTCACGAGCTCTCCACCTCATCACTCTCAACTGTGCGATACGCGAAACACCGCGACGCAGTGACAGTTCCGTGGGTGTTCGTCGCACATCGCAGACACGACGCGAGCCCATCCAGCCAATACCAACGAAGGATGACCTCCACAGCATGTATCCTGATCGCTTCACTGGGATTGGTAAATTCCCCGGTGAATACAATATCACGCTACGAGAGGATGCATGTCCGGCCGTACATCCTCCAGGAAAGTACCCAATCTGGATCAAGGAGGAGCTTAAGACTGAACTGGACAGAGTGAAAGGCCTGAATGTCATTACCAAGGTCACGGAGCCCACAGACTGGGTTTCGTCAGTGGCATTCAGCAGAAAGCCCATCGGCAGTCTTCGCGTGTGCCTAGACCCACAGGCACTGAACAAAGCCTCCAAGCGGACATATCACATCACTGGAAGAAATCACGCATCAGTTCAGTGGCGCTAATTAAAAGTGTTCAGCAAGCTGGATGCACGACATGGGTACTGGAGCATCGTGCTGGATGAGGAGTCCAGTATCTTGACAACCTTCAATTCGCCATTCGGACGGTATCGTTTCCGTCTTCTACCCTTCGGGCTGAAAGTCTCCCAGAATATCTTCCAGGAGAAAATGGGCATGAACCTGGAGCAATGCCCTGGAACTTTCGGGATTGTAGATGATATTGCAGTCTTCGGTACAACAGTCGAAGAACATGACAAACACTTGCACAACCTCATGCAAGTCGCTCGCAAGTACGGCCTGATCTTCAATCTCAGCAAGTGTAAGGTAAGAACCCCTTGCATTAAGTTCTTCGGATGCCTCTACGATGCCTCTGGTGTGCAGCCCGACCCGGAGAAGGTGCAAAACATACATGCACTTCCTGCACCGCAGAATGTCAACGAACTTCAGCAGTTTCTGGGTCTGATACAATACCTCGCGCCAGTTCTCCCCAGACTCGCTGATCATACAGACACACTCCGCGCACTGCTACGCAACGAAAGTGAGTGGCAGAGGACAGAATCGAACCAGAAAGCAGTCGAAAATGTCAAGTCGCTAATCGGTACAGAATGTACGCTCACCCACTTCGACCCTCGACAACCCACAGTGCTACAGGTGGACGCGTCTCTGAAAGGACTCGGAGCAGCACTCCTGCAGTTCCTAAAAAGAGTTAAAAAAAGTTGTTGATGATAAACACCAAAGTAGAAAAGTGTCCCACTTGGCTCAGCAAATTAGGTGACAATTAGGCAATTAGTTCATTCCTTAGACATAGAGGAGAATTCATTGTATTTCCAATTTTGCTACAAAATCTAGTTTTATCCCTCACTTTCATTCATAGATTTGCTCTCAAAAGGGGATGTAATGGACCATGCATATTCATATAACCTTTGACCTATACCTCCCATGGTTATTTGAGTGTACTGTACATGGAGCGTGGAACATGACCTACATAACTTCACCTTATACATCGCCTAGTCTTGTCATTATTCTATCTGTATTATTCTTTCACATACGTCACTACAGACTGGGGCCTAAAAATGCGCAGCCTCTACATCGATAGCACCTACGAAAACAGCGGAAGTCTTCGCTATGTTTGCACGGCAAGCGCCTCTACTGGACCCACTATTTACTGGAGCGTGTACCACCAAGAGCGAGCGCAGTGGCAGGACCTGGGCCGAAACTCCACCGAGGAAGGCTGTGAGGTTACCCCGACCAGTTTCTCACCGTGCGTGGTGCAGTCTGCCCTGGTCATCGATCAGGGACACGGACCCATCGCTGAGGGCGACATCATCACCTGCACAGCAAACTCTGGCTCAAGGAATGCTTCTGTATCTATCCGCCAAGGTATATCCGAAGAAAAAAAACAATAAACAAATAAAACACAACACAACCAAACCAATGAGAATCAAAAGGGGGTGCCTTACATGGGAAATGCAATCTGGTGTGGATCAAGTAATGAGTAAAAAAAATGTCAAAGTGTTAAAATGACTTCGAATTGTGACATGCCTAACACTTTTTTTTTTTGCTGTATTTCTTTTAGGAAAGGATGCAACAATTGGTTTGTACAGTAGCCATGAACACGCAGGTAAATTTCCCTTTTTAAAAGCTGTTTAGCGCGAAACGGAAAAATTATTGATAACTTTTAATTCTGAACTTCTTGCAAATAAGGTTCTATTTTCATTCTTATTAAGGATTGTTCGTTGCCAACACTGGACAAGAATACCACAGAAGTTTTGACGGAAGTGGAGAGGAATGGGAGAACGGCAGACATCCGTTCATTTGCACGAAAACTCGTCGCGACGTGTAGACGTATGTGGGGTACTTTTCTTTATAGTTCACATTTGCACTTCTGTTAAGTGTCGTATGCACAATCATATAAAAGGCTAATCTTCGCAGGTTCGTGCTTTAATGTAAAGCCCGGTTCATTCTCGGAGCGAAAGCGAACGTTAATTAGTGACGTCATGGGAATGTAGCATTCGCGCTGCAAATTTGCAAAAGTTGAACACATTTCAACTCGGGCGAATTTCGCAGCGAATGTTTCATGACGTCCAATTCTCTTCGCATTCGCATGAAGTATGAACCGGGCTTAAGACATAACAATGACTTAATACCTTGTACCCATTATCCGCCAAGCTGTCATATTTCCTAGCGCTCTCATTGGCCAATTTCTGTGTGACGTCTCTCAGGAGGAGTCAAAATAGTGCTACATGATTGGTTGGCACGCAAGGTTGTGACTCTCTTCACAGGGTGAAGTCAATGCTTCACATTGTGTAGAGTCATCCACAATTCGTTGCATCAATACCAATCCTTTGAGATACAACACAAGAATGCAAAGTTAGAACAATGCGCACTTTGATGAAGTTATATGAAATTTGAGACATTTTAATGGTGATTGTGGTTTAAACCTCCTGCTTATTACACGAACATGTGCGTTTGGAAAATTGCTGATAATTGTATGTATTAATTTATCTTGAACTTAATCAATCTTAAACATTCCCGTTGTAGAAGTACTCAGTTGTCGCCTTTTAAACATTTACAAATATTTATTGCACTTTAAAAGTAATCAATGTTTTGCCTTTAAACAGGTTGTATCAATTAAACTATACGATCTGTAATTGGCGTCAATTCTTTAGTTATCTAGCGGTGATTCACATTTTCACATTTGTATTGAAAAAGGACTTAGTTTTTATATTTCTCAATAATTAAATGCACTCCAAAAACGCTTCTTGTCCGTAAAAAGGGTAAATCAATTGAATTATGAGCTTTATAATTCTCGGAAATGTTTAATTCTAGTCAATTTTAGAATATAGAACGCTTCATTTTCTTGTTTCATATGTAAAATTACTTGATGTTTACGAAATTGTTAAAGTATAAGTTGTTGTGCAACTTCAAGAGGTTAGTTATTATTCACCCTTGCTATTTCAAATTTTGACTACGACCATTAATGCAATAGTTACATGTTATTTAATCGTTGTAATAGTTTTACAATAGCTTAACATAGTCATTAAAGATTTACAATCGTTATAAAAAAAGGTTTCTTGGTCGTCAGCGTAACAGATTTAGCAGCCAAATTGATGACGAATAACCCGTTTTCGCACAAATTCGGATGCACGTTTAGATCAGCATTCAATTTACTAAGAAGACCGATTTAAATTTAAAAGTATGCGAATTGCGATTGCACTTTTCAACCTATTTAATTTCAAAAATTTGGCATTCATATAAAAATGTCACATTGGGTCATTCAAATTAGCCGGAGCTTCACGTTGTGTCCATTTGGGAATTCAAATTCGACAACAAGCAAGCATTTGTGAAACCTGAGCAAAAGAATTACAAACCGGTTCGTGTAATGAATTTGTTCGTCAGAATTTAATAAAGTGTCTTAGATACAATTTGAGAATACATAAAAAACAGTACTGTTTCCCACAATATTCAGACTCAAAGTTGCAGCCACAAAATAACCATATAAATCACTTTTTTGTGCATACTAAAGCAGGCGCTTTTGAAATGAAACATGTTTAAGATAAAGCTAATGGAGAAGTTAGAAAAAAGACCGCAATTTAAAACTTTAAATTTTCAAAATTTAAAATCCACTTCCTTGTTTCTTAACTTTATCTCTCGTTAGAGGTGTTTTCCAAGTGGTCTTAATAGAGGAAAGGCCACAATAATATATAAGAATGGCGACAAACATAATATTGGTAATTATATACCTATTACAGTATTATCTACATTCTCAAAAGTTTTGAAAAAATAATATGTTGCCGTTTTATAATTTTTTATAAAAAAATAACCTTTTGACCGAATCGCAATTCGGTTTCCGAGACAAGCGATTGTCTATGGGCCTTACTCACGAGTCGGCCACCTTGAATTGAAAGTGAGATGAAATGGTCAATTTTGGAACTTGCAAAGATAATAAAAATTTAATTTATAATGAATTCCAATATGCTTCAATGAATCATATTAAAAAAATTTAAGTAAACATTCCCTAACGTTTAACGCCGTATTAAAAAAAAGGAAAATAAGGCTGAAGGATGCCTGCATAAATAATCTGGTGCCATCCCATTCGACAGTTAACAGTTAATGAAATGAATTCAGGGAACTCGACAAAATGATCAACTCGTGAATAATTTATTTGATCGGGTACACCCGGCCTAGTGGTCTCGATCTCGCTCCATTGCCTACTTTATTTTCTTTCAATAGAGGGCGCGCCACATAAATAGTGGTCTCGATCTCCCGTGCACCAAACTCGTTTGGGGGGCAACAACTCAAGAAATACAAGATGTGAAAAATTGATTTTTTGACCACTGATTTGTAGTTATGATAAAAATTACCAGATTTAATTTCATAAGAAACCAACCAACAGTGAAGCTATTATGACCATAACTATACTGTGTTTTAAGCGCGACCAGTACAGCCTGAATGAGAGTCAACGTGGATTCTTCGCCTGTAAAAAACTACATTGTTACGATCATATTATTTGTATTGGTCGTATCGCCACTTTGACTCTCCGGTGGCATCTGGGATCCTTGCGACCCGACTTGCCACAAAAGTGCAGAAGCGCCTACTCTTGTTTCGTATGTATTGCAGAACCGAAAGTTGAATCAGTCCGGAATATGATGTCGGCGATGGGCAGTCTCAGCTCTTCTTAAACCATTTTGTTGAGCTCAACTGATAAATCAGCTGCTGTAAGCTCCAACCCCTCTATGGATATGGACTTCTTGGAACACAACCTTGCCTTCCCAAAAATGAAAGAACATAGTTAATCCTTCCTGATCCATCCACTGTCTGTAGGTGCAGCTGACTGACTGCTGTATCGTCTCGCTCGCTTGGCCTCAAACACATGGCGATGGTGAGAGCCTCCAATAATGGCAAGTCATCCAACCAGCGCTTCCATCTAAACAATTCTCGCTCCTCAACCTTTTCCTCCCAACATAGCCCCTTGTTGCAGACAAGTTAGATCTTGGCTGGTATGAATGGTGTAAGGATTTCTTCACATCTTTCTGATATGGGAAGACGCTTCTAGATATATAGGCAAGGTTTGGACAGTCCTCACTCTCGGTAAGTCCAGCTCCTCATCATTTTGGATGGACTTCACTGTTAGGTGTATCTCCATGCCGTGACACTTGCTTGTTCCTCCAACTGTATTCAAGGAGAAGTTAAACCTTTCACCCTTGATGCCAAGCTGCTCAGCCAGCTTTTCATCACACAGTGAAACGTCACTGCCTTCGTCCAGTAGAGCACAAGTCTCTAGCTCATGGCCGTTGTGTTTGTCTTTACTGGCAGCACTCGTAAGGCCACTTGCCTTGATGTCACAACATGACACTCTCCGGCTGATCTTGTTCTCCTTCCATCACCAGTCCCCCAGCCCTAGTTCAGGTACCGGTTTAGGTTTCACACTTGCTTGAATTTCGCAGCCCTTCTGCTCCTCATGATTGGCAACAGGCGCAAGGGGTTAGTGAAGGAGAGTATTATGCCCTCACGTGCATCCAGTCTGCAACGTCTGGCGACAAGCCACTGAATGAAGCCGTTGTCACAAAGTTTATTATCCCACATAAACTGACGACGCTCACCATATGACGTCCGTGTGAAGGTCTTGCATTCTGCCAATTTGTATGGCTGAGAACAGCACAGGCATTTGACCTGCTTGTCCCTCTTTCCTTCATGAAGACAGTCACCACCCAAACTAGTTAAGAGGGAAGTCACCTTAGGTTAGCCTACGGTTGGTGCGTGAGGAATGACTCTCGCTGGTCGAACTAAAAGCGATATTATGTCCGTACATATTGCTGGCAGTTTTTACCTTCAAATCCATTATCTGCGTCATCTGTGCAAAGCTTGGTTCTCGTTTGGACTCTATGGTCATGGTGACCTGTGCCTTCTTGGCCCAGTCTGCTTGTAGATGAACGGGCAAGAGACGCTGAAACTTAAGTAGGTTCTCTTAGCTGTTCATGTCCGCGTTGTATCCAAGTTGGAACAAGGTAATATGGCACGTCTTCATGTCCCTTGCGAAATCCAAAAGGGCAATGCCATCGTTTTGTCGTAGCTGCCCTCAGTTGGTAACCTTGCGCAGCAAATCATGCATTTTTAAGTGTGGCTGTCCGAACTGCTCCAGCAAAATTTCAAGTGCTGTTTCGTAGCCCACTGTCGGTTCCATCAATATACAGTTTTCGAGGTTTTTTTTTTCGATGTATCTGAAGGAAATGCAATAATGCCACTCTCATCTATCATGTCGGCCTGTGCTTGATCATGGTTGATGAGTACTGCTTGTGACTTCTTCACTAGTGTCATTCTCTTGTGTGACATCTGGTCTGTTTCATGTGGCATCGTCCTCTTGCATTTCCTCTCCCCAAACATGTGTCTCCAATTCTGCCTGCTC